ACATCTCCGTGACTTACTTATCTTATAACTGGAAGTTTGTACCTCCTAATCTCCTTCACGTGTTTCACCCCGCCCCCACCAATTCTCCATTATCTATGAGTCTGTTTTTATTCCGTTTGTAAATTTGTTTTGTTTTTTAGATTCCACATATAAGTGAAATTGTATTGTATTTGTCTTTGTCTGGCTTATTTACTGTAGGTCCTCCTGTGTTATCACAAATGGCAAGATTTCATTCTTTTTTATAGCTAAATGATATTCCACTTTGTAGATCACATTTTGTTTGTCCATTTATCTATCAATGGGCCCTTGAGTTGCTTCCATATCTTGCCTATTGTAAATAATGCTGCATTGAACGTTGGGATACATAGTATCTTTTTGAATTAGTGCTTTTGTTTTCTTAGGTAAATACCCAGAAGTGGAATTGCTGGATCGTATGGTAGCTGTATTTTAATTTTTTGTGGACCCTCTGTACTGTTCTCCACAGGAGGCTGCACCTACTTATTTGCCCACCGAGAGTACACAAGGGTTTCCTTTTCTCCACATTCTTGCCAACACTTGTTATTTCTTGTCTTTTTGATATTAGCTGTTCCGACTGGTTTGAGGTAGTGTTTCATTGCTGTTTTGATATGCATTTCCCTGAAAATTGTGATAGGGAGCATCTTTTCAGGTGCCAGTGTGTGTGTGTGTGTCTTCTTTGGAAAAAATGTCTACTCAGGTCTGCCCATTTTTAAATCAGGTTGTTTGAGGTTTTTGTTACTGAGTTGTATCAGTTCTTCATATATTTTGGGTAGCAACCATTCCAAATATCTCCTCCCATTCAGTAGGTTGCTTTTTCACTGTGTTGATGGTTTCCTTTGCTGTGCAAAAACTCTTGGTTTGATATAGTTCCATTTGTTTGTTTTTGCTTTTGTTTCCTTTGCCTGAGGGGACCTATCCAAAAAAATATTTCTAAGAATTATGTCCAAGGGTTTACTGCCTATTTTTTTCTAGGAGTTTTATGGTTTCACCTCTTAAGTCTTGAGTGCATTCTGAGTTAATTTTTTGGTATGGTGTAAGATAGTGGTCCAGTTTTATTCCTTTGCATGTGACTGTGCAGTTTTCCCAAAACAACTGATCAAAGAAACTGTCTTTATTCCTTTGTATGTTCTTGTCTCTTTGTTGTAGATTGAATGACCATTTAAAGGTGGGTTTATTTCTGGCCTCTCTTCTATTCCATTGACATATTTGTCTTTTTCTATCAGTACCATACTGTTCTGATTACTGTAGCTTTGGAGTATAGTTTGAAATCAGGAGCATGTTACCTCCAACTTTGTTCTTCTTTCTCAAAATTACCCTGGCTGTTTGGGGTCTTCTGTGGTTACATACAAATTTTAGGATTATTTGTTCTAGGTCTGAGAAAAATGCCATTGGTATTTTGATAGGAATTGCATTGAAATCTGTAGACTGTTTTGAAAATAGTATGGACACTAACAATTCTTCCATTTCTTTTTTTTTTTTAAGATTTTTTATTTATTTATTTGAGAGAGAGAGAGAATGAGAGATAGAGAGCACGAGAGGGAAGAGGGTCAGAGGGAGAAGCAGACTCCCCACTGAGCAG